TTTATTTTAATGGTAGGTACAGTTAGATTTTAAGATCTAGCAATACTTTTGAACTTGTCATGCAACAACTAGAGCACACTGTATAGAATATTTTAAAGTTGCTACCAAAAAACCAAGTTGACACTCTACCTAGCAATGTAGGATTCTCAACGTACCTTCCTTCTTTCCCTGCTGGCATCAAACTAAGAAAGGTATAGGGAGGAAATAATTAAATGGTTTCTGAAGAAAACACTAGACATTTCATCAAGAATTCTGCTTCTGAATGATGTAGCACATCCAGGTCCACAAATAATAGATTTCTGGAGAGCATCAATTTTGGGCTAATGAAATACAGGATGAGACTGGAGCCCTCAGTGAAAACTCTAAAGACGCAGGAACTGATGAACAAGCCAAACAGGCAAGGAATCAGTATGCAGTGAATGCTGGTTCCCTTCAGTGACTCCATCTTCTTGAGACTGCTCCTGTGTCCTTTGGGGGAAAATCATCCTACCTTTTATCAATTTTTTCCTAACACTTTAACACAAAGCCTGTAAGAAACATAGTAAACTCAAAGCTAGTATTAAGAGCTTGAATGAAAATAATAATGAGACTTACCCTGTGGATCAGTAAACTCTTCTCAAGTTATAAATCTTCATTTATGGAATGAAAGAAAATAAACAGGGTTTATTCAGGGTAAGTGACACTCTGCTTTTGAAAGTGGGAATAATGACTTCACTAAATACTGAATGTGTTAAAAGTTAAGTGCTTTCTTTCTGAGGCCTTGATGTTTTATTGCTGCATCACATAAGGACAAGTATGATGCCTTATTTCAAGGATTTATCCCAAATTACCCAAGAAAATCCAAAATAATGGAAATATAATTAAAGGCTTTTGAAAATCAAGTTATTTGTAGATGCTTATAAACAAACTATAATCAAGGTTCAATTCTGAGGTCTGGTGACTGATTTTATGTTGAAACGTCTTCTCAAATGTGTTCTTACTTAAAATGTAATTTAAAAAAATATTCTAGAAACTGAAGTATTACTTTTGTTCTGAGTTCTCCTACTAAACCACAGAAGCACAGGATGGATCTGACTTTTCCATCAGTAATACAGACTCACGACAAAGTGCACCGAAAAAATATCCAAACTTGCTTGGATAAACACAGCATTTAGACAGAGAAACTGAAGTGAATAGAATCTTCATGTTCGCTGGTGTTAATTTTCCCTATGAATGTTAAAAATGCTTATAATACAGCCATCTAAGATGCAGCTGATGG